TCAGTCTATGGGCATTAGCTGATGAATGACTTTCTTTTAATAATAGATTTTAATGTATCAAATAATAATTGCGCAAATGTATTAATAATTACAGTAACAACACTATGTAACTAGGTACTGTGCTTTACATATTGTCTGTATTTTATATTCTTAGAGTATATGTTTTACTATTAACTGTTAGTGAAGTTTCAGAAGCATACAATAGCTTTGAAGAAACAAGTTGATATTGAGGTTAATGTTGATTGTCATCACAGGCATGAATGAGCTCAGTGTTTGTGACAAGAAAAATGGCCTTAGAGTTTAAGAATGTTTGTGTTGAAGAGTGGAGTTAGATAATTAGGATCTGAATAGATAGAGCATAGGTAGATTATGGAAGGCTTTAATTGCAAAGTCTTTTTTTAGATTTAATATCTAATAGGAATTACACATCTGTGTATTAACTATGTATAGAACATTGAATGTTCCTAATGAGAAAAATGAAATGAAACTCTTCTAGGAATTCTGATCTTAAAATACTCTTAATGGTTAGGGAACATCTGTCTTTTTTTCTATATGTATGCTATAAAGCAATAAAATAATTAAATATTTGAATACAGTGATAACTAGGTTAATGTGCAAAGATCATTCAAAAAATCTTCCATCTCCAGTACTTTAAAAAGATAGTGAGTAAAGCAAACAAAATTACTAACAGCAATCAAAGGTAAGGGTCTCAATTTCATGTGTGAACTTTAAAATGTAACAGTCAAGAAAGTAAGTGCAGGCTAAGTGCAATAGTTCACACCTATATTCCCAGCACCTGGGAACCCAAGGTGGGAGGATTGCTTGAACCCGGGAGTTTGAGACCAGCCTAGGCAATATAAGGAGACCTCATCTCTACAAAAAGATAAAAAAATTAGCCGTGTATGGTGGTGTGCACCTGTAGCCCCAGCTACTTTTGGGAGGCTGACACAGGAGTATTACCTGAGCCCAGGAGGTCAAGGCTGCGGTGAACTGTGATTGTGCCACTGCACTCCAGTCTGGGTGACACAGTGAGATTCTGACTCAAAAAAAAAAAGGTACAGATTACAATCGGGCCCATGATGTTCTCTAAACCCTGGCAATGGATCTCTAAGACATTGCCATGGGGCAAAACGTAGTGCATTAAATCCAATTAACTCTTAATTTTTAACTCAGAGAGAAGCAGACTGGGGGGGCCGAAGTGAAGACCAAGGAGATGTCAGAGAAAAATCCCTTAAGAGCAGAAAATCTCTCAATTTTCTGTAGCATCTCAGCAGAGGTAGGAAACTATCAGGGCCTACCATCTTTCAAAACTCTCTAATTCATAGAAAACAACCAGAGAACGATACAATTCATACCAAAAAAATTGCAGTGCACAGAAATCAGAAGAAGTAAATCTGGATGCAACCTCAATCTTCCCCCTCCTCCCAAAATATCCTTGTAGAAGATATTTGTTCTGTAGAAGAACTCAGTAAGAATCTGAATTCAAGAAAATTAAAAACTCAGGAGACGGAATTGTAAGAGATGATTGAATAAGGATACAAAATCAAGACTTAGAGCAGCACTATTTTAGAACTAATCCCTTAGAAACAGAATACAGCAAAAGTCAGATTTTACCATAGAGGGAAAAATGGAGACAGTATATTCCAATTAAAAATTAAAGGATTACTAAGAATAGATGTGAATGATGATTAAGGCATCCAATATACAGATATATCAAATAGAAAAACCAAGAAATTCTTGAGGAAGCTAGAAGAAAATTTTCCTTGAAATGATGAACTGATTATGTTGACATAAAGGGCATGTTTTCGGGGAAATGGAGAAGTAACAATTGGTAATAAAACTTACTCTGGTTTATTTGAAGATTCTCCCATGAAGAATTCTTCAGAAAGACACCTAGATACAAAACAAGCAAAACTTCCAAACAGGCAAATAGTCTGACCTCTCATATCTTCACAATATTCACCCCAAATATAATGAAGCATTCTTTACAAACTTTAGAGGGAATAAAAGTAAAATCCAACAATTTCACCACAAGCCAAATCATCCTCAGGTGATACAGACAAAAGGAAAAAGAATTTCAAATGTAACATCTATGGATACTTGGAAGAAAACTGCTTGACTTTGAAATCTATGCAATAGAATGACGGGTGGAGAGTGGGTGAATAATGTAGAGTAGAAGCAGCAGCAGGAAAACATACCATGTTTCATGATGGTGGCACAGTGACAGCAGATCTGTGAGAGAATGTGTGAATCACACTTTCATTTCTAGATAAACTATTAGACCATAAAAGCAAAAACAAAAGGAACATGAAAACATTAAAGGTTTTGTAAAAAACAAAAACCCAAAACAAAAACCCCCAAACTACCTGCCGATGTTCATCCAGTAAGCAGTGAATTAACATGAAGAATTTAGAAATGAAGAAATTTTAATTAGAAAGTCAATTTCCTTGAAGGTAGACATATTAGGTCTAAATTATGTGAATTGTGGCTACAGAATAGAACGTGACTCTAATAAACCTTGTCAGGGTTAAAATAACATGATTGACCAAAACTAGGCTGTGAATGGAAGCTAAAATGTGCCATCTCCTCTCTCACAAAAGGAAGTCAGTTAATACTGACTGACAGATGAAGTGGGCTGTCATTAACAGTCCAGGGTCTTTATGCTATGTCTCTCTTCTTAACCTTTAGAAACTCATTAAATTTCCTGAAGTGAAGAATCATCTCAAGTTTTGCAGTGCCTCCAGTTTTTCTTCATTTGGATTTCTTTCACTAAAAGTAAATAATTAAAATGAGATGCATTTATCTTATCTTAATGCATTTATGTGTTTAGTTCTTCTTTCATTTGTCCTTCCAGCTTAATGCATATATTATTCATAGGAATTGTTGAAATTATACTTGTCTGACTTTCAGAGTAGCTCTTTCTACATATTGGTCTTTTGGGATGCATTTTTTGTGCCTTCGTAAAGAACTTTTCCACATTGTTCATTTTAAGAACATATATGATTTTTCTTGACAGGATAACTTTTTTCTTTATAAGACTGGTGGCAGCGTTTTTGTTTTTTTTAATTATTAAGCATTTTCTAATGGTAAAAACACAAATGTTTCTAAACAGTCCTCAAAGATACCAAACTGAAAACAGTTGTTTTTTTAATACTTAAAAAGCTAAATCAGAATAACTCTCATATTTTCATCCTAGACCTCATTTGTGTGTGTGCAGAAGGAAATTTTAAAGTGAGCCACTTTTTTCTGAATTCAGATTTCAATTGTGCACTTTTGTTGAAGTTAATATTTGATGATGTGGTTACCTTATTTCATATCTGTCAAGTCAGAAACTTGGCAGGATGTGAGGATATGACTTACTTGCATGCAAATAAGTCAGCCTGACACAGTATCATAGATATTGGCAGAAGACCTGAGACTGCAGGGTCAGAGAAAAGAATTTATTACAACCACCATGGTAGCAGGAATAAAAAGGTAACACTAGTTTTCTGAATTCCAAATCTCATGGAGAGGTGCAATTAGGATTAGTTGTTGCCAGGCAGTGGGGTGCTTTAAAAACAAACAAACAGAGAAAAACCTTGACATTGGGAAACCTTGACCTTATTCAGGCAAATCTGCTCATCCTCTCCTCAGGAGAGAGACATTATTACTCTGGAATGTCTTATAAATCCATTCCAGGAAGAGAGCTGTCTCCATTTTTACTTTCTGGAAAATAAATCTGCTCTAGGAAGCATTAATATATAGTTGATGACTATGGAAGTTTTTTTGACTTAAAAAAAATCTCTTTGAACTTTGTGCTCAAGAATTTTGAACTGAACTAAGATGCTTAAGATTGATTAGTAGGCAACTCATTTCTACAGCAAAGCTCAGACCTTAAAACCTTTATTTCCCTTTTTCACTCTTTAATACTTTGTCAAAATTCTATCAAATTATGCTACTGAATAGATAATATACAGAGGTACAGAATTTGTTGTTCTACTAAGGAAAAACATTGTAATGCCAGTGTAAGTCATTGAAATGTGATTTTCTGTGGGATTTTTTTTTTTTTTTGAGTTGAAGTCTCTATCACCCAGCTGGAGTGCAGTGGCACACTCACGTTCACACTAGCGTCGACCTGCTGCGCTCCAGCGATCCTTCTGCCTCAGACTTCCAAGTAGCCAGAACTACAGGCGAGTGCTATCACACCAGCTAATTTTTAAAAAATTTTATTTGTTGTAGAAACGAGGTCGCACCAAGTTGCCCGGGTTGGCCTTGAACCCGCGGGCTCAGGCAATCCGCTCGCCTCGGCCTCCCAAAGTGCTGGGATTATAGGCTGAGCCACCGAGCCCAGTCTCTATGGAATTATTTTAGCAGAAATATTATAACAGATCCCTTGTTTAATAACTCTTAAGTTTTTGCTCATATTGTTATATTAGAAAATATTAAATTATATGAAATAAAAGTCTTATTAGAAAAATTTGCTGTTCTAAATCCAGTCTGGAACCACTCATAATGAGCTCATTGAGAGGCTTTTTTTCATCTCTTCTTGTATTTATTCTTGCTCTAGGTCAAGTCTTGCTTCTTAGTTACTTATATTGTTATAATTTCTGATTTATTTCCCTGTTTCCAGTCATTCCAGGTTTATTGGTGTCTCTCCGTTGTAACCGTGGTGTTTACTTTGCTTTTAGATTCCTACAACCATTCCTGCAATTTTTCCCTTATAATCCTTCAGCATTCTCTGTGATACTTACTTGTATTCAACAGACTACTTGCCTATTCCTGAATATATGATGTATATTTTTTGTTGTTCTATAGCTGTAACAATTTTCTGTATCCTTGTTTGCTAAAATAATAGTTATTTATAGCCCAGTACAAATGTCTTTTTCTTGGTAACCTGATAAACTTTAGCCTGAGCTCCTTTTCATGCACAATTATGTGCTCCTTTGTAACAAAGATGTATATGTTCACGGTTGGCCTATCTAATTTGTAAACTTTTTCTTCTGCATACTTTTTTCTACTAGCATGTAAAAATCACACCTGGAACTCTGTGCCATGCTGGGAAAGGTCTTCAGCAAATCATCTTAGAGCAATGCTACAATTTTGTTTGTGTGAATGTAAGTAGTCCACACAAATGATTGAAAGCACTTGAGAATCTGCAAATGCAATGTGGCAGAGAACTAATTTTTCTTTATTCTTAACTAGTTGAATAAGAGGTTTTTGTGAGTTGTGTTATTTAATATTTGTTTATAAATAATGTTATTTATTTATTTATTTTGAATCGGGGTCTCACTTTGTTACCCAGACCAGAGTGTGGTGGCACCATCAGGGCTTACTGCAGCCTCAACCCCTGGGTTCAGGCGAACCTCCTGCCTCAACTTCCTGAGTAGCTGGGACTACAGGCACACACCACCATACCTAGGTTTAGTATGTATTTAGAAATTTTATTTTTTATTCTTTGAAATAGAGAAATAAGCCAGGCTCAGTGGCTCAGCCTGTAATCCCAGCGCTTTGGGAGGCCGAGGTGAGTGGATTTCCTGAGTCCATGGGTTCGAGACCCGCCTGGGCAACTTGGGGAGATCTTATCTCTACAATAAATCAAAAATTAGCTGGGCGTGGTATTGCGCGCCTGTAGTTCCAGCTACTTGGAAGACTGAGGCAAAAGGATCACCCCTAGTCCTGCAGGTCGAGGCTGTGGTGGCCGTGAGCATGCCACTGCACTCCAGCCTGGGTGACAGAGTGAGACTCCAACTCAAAAAAAAAAAAAAAAAAGAAAGAAATAGAGAAATAACACTTTCTAGAAAGCTAATTCCCATAATGAGAAGATAATGTTTCTTTAGACAATATATTCTATTTTCTGTTTTGTACCTGGTAAAAAGTAGATAATAAGATACAGGTTTGAATTAATTAATAGTTCAAAGTTTGATATGTATAACCTTATGAGTATCCTTTAAAATTGTTTATATATTAAGCTTGATACATATTGTGATTGTTATGTAAAATCTCTCAATTTTTTCCCTTGAAATAACTTTTAAATCACTTAAGAGCTTCCTTTCACTTCCTTTTATTTTCCTGGTCTTTCAGGTTATGTCCTCCGATTTTCAAGAAACCCAGAAGTTACTGAGTTTGCTTGAAGAGAGCAATCTTTCCATTTTATATCCTGTTGTTGTTGTTTCAGTAAGTGAATTAATGCAGACTTTTCTCAAATTTGTGCTTTCTTTCTTGTAACTTCGTGTTTCTGTTTAGTACACTTTCATCCAATTGAGAGCATCGACCCAAACTCAAAAGAAGAAACTCTTCTTTATGAATCCCTCTACTTACGCTCTTGCTGTGACTTCTATGACTGAATGACTTGATTACTGCAACCATTTGGTTGAACTGACAGGTTTGGAACACTTTTTCAGCATAGCAACAGATTTCATTTTTTTCCTTCTTTAAAATTGTAAAGTATTTAGAGAAGAAATCTAGATGTTAAAAAATGTGAGAGAAAACATCCAAGGGAAGAAAATGTATTCTTGGATTGTTTCATTCTTTCTGTTCCATGGAAGGTAAAAGTAGAACAAACAACAGATGAAAGAGAATTTCTAGAGGGATGCCCCATGAGTATTTTGGAAAGACTCTGACATGGAAGTTTAAAAATATAGGTTTAGTAGAGAATTTACTTGATGAGCCTATTAAGCTGTATGGCAGAGGGGTATATCAGAAAGCAAAGCTAGGAAGGAACAAGACCAGAAGCTGAGCCAGCCAAACTGGCTGAGGAGCTGGATTAGCAGTTGGTAGCATTTTGCTGTGTGAAGTCTTCCAAACATTAACTTCTCTAAAGTGCTTAGCAATTGTCAAGTTCCTAAAGCTCAGACCCATCCCATAGTGTAGGAATTTAATTCCTGTTAGGTAAGGCTAGTAATACAGAATAAAGATAATTTACACTGCAAATAACTCTTGACTGAGTAATGCAAGTAGGAACAATTGAGCAAATATGGGAGGTTTAATTAAATCACTTGCCTGTTTATTTGGTTATATGCCCTATAGATAATTTTTATGGGTACAGCTGGTTGGGGAAACCCAACGTCCACCTGTGACTGATTTTCACAGCAAAAGCTTTCGTTGAGCTTTTTAGGAACATTATGGAATGTATCCAATGCTGGAAGGCGCTCAGGCTCTGTAGGATAAAAGTAAGTTCAGAGGTCTGTGTTTGACCCTCTGTTCCTCTCTCTACATTTGCCTGATTAGAAATCTCATTCATTTCATGTTCTCAGATATGCTGAAGTGGCAATACAGTGTAGTGAAAAGATCAAGGGCTTTGAACTCAAATATTTGGGTTCCTTGGTGGAGTTTCTTCACTTGTCCGAGGTTGGTTTTCATCAGTGTAGTCATGAGACTGATAACCCTACTTCTTAACTTATAAGGATTAAAATGAACAAATGTAAAGTATAGTTTCTAGCACAGTTCTGAGCCCTTGGCAGGCATGCAAGGTTTTCCAGCATTTGTTAGGTACTTCTTTTGTAGCATTTAATTTCTTGAATTTACCTTATCAGATCTATCACAAAAGCACATTCTCCATAGCTGACTTCTGTTAATGGCAATTTAGCTGTGACTATATGGGCACCCAGGTTGACATCTGTGCTATCTTTAAATGTTCCTTTTACCTATCTCTCCCTGCCTATCTCCACCAAATGCATAAACACACACACTCAATTTTTAAACTGTTAGTTCTTCTATTCACTGCTACTGTTGTACCTCAACCCCAGGACTTTCTATTGCTTCCATAAATATTTGAATTTAGTTTTCTGTTGACTTCTATGATTTATTGTAGAGATAAGGTCTCGCCAAGTTGCCCAGGCTGGTCTCCGATCCATGAACTCAGGCAGTCCTCTCTCCTCGACCTCCCAAAATGTTGGGATTATAGGCGTGAGCCACCATGCCTGGCCTGGTTCATGATGTTTAAAACTTGTCATCTTCATAATAGAAAAAGGCAAAGCGAAGCAGCAAGTGATGATGTGGAAGCTGCAGCAAGTTAACCAGAAGATCTGGCTAAGTTATTTGATGAAGGCAGCTTCACTCAACCACAGATTTTAAATGTAGATAAAATAGTTTTCATAGCTAAAGAGGACAAATCAATGTTTGGCTTCAAAGAACAGACTGACTGTCTTGTTAGGAGCTGATGTAGCTGGTGACTTTAAGTGAAAGTCAGTGCTCGTTTACCATTCCCCAAATCCTAGGACCCTTGTATTACGCTAAATATTATGTCTATGCTCTATAAATGGAACAACAAAGCCTGGGTGACAGCACATTTGCTTATGGTATGGTTTATTGAACATTTTTAAGCTTACTTTTGAGGCCAGCTGCTCAGAAAGAGATTTCTTTCAAAATATGGTTGCTCATTGACAATGCATGTGGTCATTCAAGAGCACTAATGGATTATGTACAAAGATATTAATATTGTCTTCATGCTTGTTAACATCTATTCCATGGATGTTCTATTCCATGGATCTAGGAGTAATTTTGACACTCATGTTTTTTTGTTTTTTTTGTTTTTGAGTTGGAGTCTCACTCTGTCACCCAGACTGGAGTGCAGTGGCACGCTCCCGGCCACTGCAGCCTCAACCTGCTGGGCTCCAGTGATCCTTCTGCCTCAGCCTTCCAAATAGCTGGAACTACAGGCGCATACTACCACAGCCGGCTAATTTTTTTGATTTATTGTAGAGATGAGGTCTCGCCAAGTTGCCCAGGCAGGTCTCGAACCCATGGGCTCAGGCAATTCACTCACCTCGGCCTCCCAAAGTGCGGGATTACAGGCTGAGCCACCGAGCCCGGCTGACTTTCATGTCTTATGATTGAAGAAATGCATTGCATAAGGCTGTTGCTACCATTGATGGTGATTCCTGTGATGGATCTGGGCAAGGTAAACTGAAACCTCTGGCACCATTCTAACTGCCATTAAGAACATTCGTGGTTTGTGGGAGGAGGTCAAAATGTCAGTATTAACAGGAGTTTAGAAGAAGTTGATTCCAAACCCTCATGGATGACTTTGAGGGGATCAAGACTTCAGAAGAGAAAGTCACTGCTATTGTAGAAATAGCAGGAGAACTAGATTTAGAAGCAGAGTCTAGATATATTTCAAAATAACATCAAAGTTATAGAAAAATAAGTCCATTTTTATTTTTGAGTTATGTGATTCAATAGATATTGAATTGCCACAAACTCGAGACAAAACTTGAGTGGATGGGATGTTACTTGGATAAGCAAAAAGAGTGGTTTCTTGAGATAGGATCTCCTCCCAATGACAATGCTATGAACATTGTTGAAATGGCAACAAAAGATTTAGAATAGTACATAAACTTAGTTGATAAAGCAGCAGCAGGGTTGGAGAGGATTGACACTAGTTTTGACAAAAGTTCTACTGTGAGTCAAATAGCATCAAATGACATTATGTGCTATGGAGAAATCTTTTGTGAAAGGAAGAGTCGATTGGTGTGGCAAATTTTATTGTTTTAAGAAATTGCCACAGCCATCTCAGCCCTCAGCAGCCATTGACACCGATGCAAGTTTCTTCACAAGCAAAAAGATTACGATTCTCTGAAGGCTCAGATGAGTGTTAGCAATTTTTAGCAATAAAGTATTTTTGAATGAAGGTATGTACATTGTATGGTAGACATAATGCTATTGTAAACTTAATATACTACAATGTAGTGTAAGCGTTACTTTTAAACACCTTGAAAAACCAAAACATTGTGTGACTAACTTTATTGCGATATTTGCTTTATCATGGCAGAGTAGAACCAAACCCCCAATATCTCCGAGATATGCTTGTACTTACTATTTTCCCATTGTGTGGGTAGACAGTATGGTGATATTAAGAGTATTATTACCTTAACAGGAAAATGTGTTACTAGATCATGTTTAGAATCTGTATCCCTAGGATAGAGCAAATCACTAGAAAGTGTGTGGTAAAAAATACTGCCCTCTTGAATGCAGCTGCATGTGAGTGGGCTCCGGGTTTTTGAACTATCCTATAAATGATTGTGAAATGGAGTGATTAGGCTTCCTCCTTTTTTCTTCTGATTCGACTTGCACTGAAAATGACCAAAGCATTGTTTCAGTTTTTCCGGTAATGAAAATTGTACAGAATCATTAAAATATCCCCCAGTATGATTGTTGTAAAATAAAAGCTTAAATTTAATAGCTATGTTACAGTCTGTTTCTGTCTGAATTAACTTTGCTAGAAGATAAAACAAACAAACAAAGAAAGGACCCTACGACAGGGGAGTTGTTTTTTTTTAATAAGGTTTTTGTTAAGCACTTTGAAATTGTGAGAAGAATGGCCACAGAGGAGTTTGGACATTTGCTTCTCTAAACAAGTAGGTTTTATTCATCAGGAAATATATTTCAAAATGACATCAAAGTTATAGAAAGATATGTCCATTTTTATTTTTGAGTTATGTGATTCGATAGATACTGAATGCGCGTATTGTGAATGTTTAAAGGCCTGTTTTGTGCTGAGATGTAGTACAATGGTCCTTTTTCTTATGCAAGAGAACCAACTTCCAATTTCAGTCTATCTGAAGAGCAGAAGGCTTAGCAGGAATATGCCAGAACCAAAATAAAATTGTGTTTGTTAGATGTTTGTGAGGTTTTCAACTGAGTGACTATGTAGTTAAGATTGTCATCTACAATGTCACTTTTCACTCTATAAGGATGAATATTTAAAGGAAGATGAGAATGAATGGCAGTTTAGCTGGGCATTTGGCAAAAACAACATTGGGTTAGATTCCAAGTGGTAAAGATTTGTGTCACGCTATAGTACTGATGACGCCTACATTGTCTCTTATATTCTTGAGTAGATATTGAAAAATATGTTGGAATGCCCTGGTATCTGTCATTCAATATAAATTCAGAAATGACATGTATCTGGATAATAAATAAATTGGAGGAAACTAAACACTGAGTGAACAGTCAGTGATGCTTGGTTCTTGGTACATAAGGGTTCAGCAAAATTAGATTCCATTTTAGGTTTTGCAGATGTCTTGACTGCTCGAAGATCAACATCTCCCTAGTTTTTGTGAAAAGTGAAATGGGCTAGACGATATTTAATATATAAGAGATTCCTTTTTATCTAGGATGATCTAGCACAAGTGGGTGGTTACTACTTTAAGGTCTACTTAATGAACAGAAGTTCA